GTGGTGGACAGGTGAGGGAAATAGAGGTGCCTGTAAGTTCAGGAAAAGCAATCCATGCATTCCACGAGGTCTTTTCATATCAAAGGATGACACAATGTCACAGAATGTGAAGCTGTGAAACATTGGAAGGGATCTACTTTTCTCAGGACCCAGACCTGATGCAAGTTCATGAATTACAATATAGCGGAAGAGTTTTCCGGTACCAAACCCCACCCATACTTCTTCAAGATCGAGAATGCCTGTTGCAGCTATGGCCAACACAACCACATCAGTGTCAACATTACGGCTGTAAAACTTCTTCCATCCTTTATGTGAAGCATCAGTGAAGCAACTTTCTTTTATCTTTTTATCTCTTCATAGTTACAGGGTGCCAATTCCAAAAGGTCTTTTGGTTGATTGGACACCACATATTCGCCAATAGGGCTGATGACTTGCTTGATTCTATCAAGGCTATTTTCTGTACAAGGAAAGCAAAAAAGATATTTCTTGCTGGTATCACACCTCGGGAATTCTTGCCAGTTCCTCAGAACTGGCTTCCACTCGTCGTCTTTTTCCACTTCCTCTTTTGTTCTTACACTGGATTTATACGCTGTCCATTTTGTATTCGTCTCAGACAATATCCACTCTCTGATTAGTGTCCAGAAGAGACTGCAAGTACTTCAAGAACACATTATCAGCATACTAGTATTCATCAAATGCTATTGGAGCTGCTGGTTTTAGCATGTTTATTACTGCAGATCCATCAAGGATTGATACGTCAACATTTGGTGTTGAGTCAGTTGGTGGTGAAATTTTCTTCAAAGCAATTGAGAAGAACTGATTTTGCGCATGGACGTAGAGAACCTTGATGAGATATAGTTGGGTAGCAAGACTGATTTTTATGTCTGACAAACTCATCCAGGTTTCCATCCCTTGACTCGTCTGTGTATTCATGGAAGAAGTTCTACATCCATATTGTTGACACAGATGTGGTCCATATTGTTGACACAGATGTGGTTGTGTTGGCCATTGCTGCATCAAGCATTCTCAGTGTTTCACAGCTTCACAGGCCATGACAGTATGTCATCCTTAGGTGGAATTCAAAAGAAGGCCTCGCGGAATACATGGAATACTTTTCCTGAACATACAGGCACCTTTATTTCCCTCGCTTGTCCACCACTTGAAATCCTAATGCACAAAATTAATCAGCATGAGAGAGTTGTTGTACTGATGTATGACAGTGCAAGCAACCTCATGAAAGTGAATGAGCAAGAAAACATTTGTTTGCCACAAAGGGGAGAACACTGGACAATGTTCCCCCAACAGAATCATTCCCCCAACAGAATCAACTTTGATCCAACATACTAGTAACTATGGACAACTCTCACGAAGGCATGAAAGAGCTGCCGGGAATTGCTGAAATGCATGTGTATAAAATGTTCAAACCGGTCCAAGTGTTTAAAAGCAGCTCTCAAGTGCTATGCACTTTTCTCATTCAGTCAAGCTAGATACAATTACACATTCCATAGAGTGATGAGATAGCTACTTTGACATTGATGTTGTCTTGATTTTGATATGTTTTTATAGGTGTTCTATAGCCAATCAAGCTCATACATTATACATGTAAGTAAATCTAATGATATATTCCTTAAAATAAACTTTGGTCTGTTCTCACAATATTCTAGTAAGATAATTTATGAGGATTTAAAATTGAGTTAAAGGAACATTTTTTGGAAAATTCAATTTTTTCCCCACTTTTTCCCCCCAAATATATAAAATTACAACAATCTGTGAGGCTTCTCGTATTGAATTTGCAAAGAAATGATAAAAATAATTTAGATCATGGGATGATCTCATACTTATTTTACTGATGTACTCTATATGGCGGCCATTTTGCAAAATGGCCACCAATTTTCGCATTTTCGGGTAGTCATGATATAAATTGACTTCCGTAGACCTAACCGTTAAAGATAAAAAGACATGTATAGATGGAAAATGACCAGTTATGGATTTCCTACAATTTGATATATGTCTTATGAGAATTGGAGAATTTTGTAAAAGGTTATAACGAAAATAGTATAAAAAATTATATTTTTTCACTTTTCCCCCCCAAATTATGGAAAATATAAAAAATCTGCGAGGCCTCTCGATCTTTATTCAGTTAGAATGGTATAAGCTACAATCATGCCAAGTTTCATGCTTGTAACACAAAGTGCACAATTTGATCACTTATCCGCTGGGCTATAGACCGCAACGTCATAGAAGAAACGTGACGTCATAGCATTGTTCATGACGTCACGTCACCATGACAAAGTGATATTTTGCCCTAGGGCATCGTACGAAAAGTATGAACCCCGATATTTTCGCCCTCGAAGGTAATAAACCGCGTCATAGTAACGAGAACGCTATTTCTAAATCCAGTTTGATGTAGATTTTCCTTTATATTAATGCTTTTGAAGTCAGATCACTATAAAATCTGTTAACACCTACTTTTTTTATCGAAATGTATATACTCATCAAGGGAAATTAAAAGACACCCGATTCTTCAATATTACTATGATTTATATGACAGTCCATATTGACTGACATGGTTTGGAACCCGTGAAGATCCGGGTTAGATTGATCTTCAGTAGAGAGTTCTTGTCGTAAGAGGCGACTAACGGGATCGGGTGGTCACAGGCTCGCTGACGTGGTTGTCATCCCAATTGCGTAGAGGGATATCCTTGCTGTTGATCGTTCATTTACAGACCGCCGCCATGTAGGTGGAATAGTGCGGCGTTATACAACAAACAAACAAAATCTACATATCATCAGGGGCGGATACAGCTTTTTGAAAATGGGGGTGGGGTGGGTGTGCACAGTTCATTGACACCCATTTTCACGAGCGTTTCAATGGTCACTTAATAAACTTGCATTACAAAAGTGGGGTACGCACCCCTGCACCACCCTCCATTTTCTAGATCCGGCTATGGGCATGTCAGCCTAGGTTGATTGTACACACTGAAACACGAGTTTAGCCTACATAGCAAACTTGTCAGCCACCAGTTCCAACTATTTGAAAACAATATTCTGACTATTCAGATTTATCGCAGTCTGCGTGTTTGTTCGGGAATCTAATGGGTGGCTCCAACACACGTTTCATAAACCTCTGGAAACAGACGTAAAATATATCTACCTGGCTTGCATGTGCTTTTAAAAAGAGATTCCAAAAAATGACTGTGATTTTTCAGCGCAACTGTAGCTGGCTGTTCACCTCACGGCTGCAACTAGAAAGTTGTAAATGCGATCTAGGGTTTGAAGAAGAAAGAAATTGATTGATGTGTTATTGTGTGATTGTGTGTGTGTGATTGTGTGTGTGAGTGTGATTGTGTGTGTGTGTGTGTGTGTGTGTGTGTGTGTGTGTCTGTGTTTGTGTCTGTGTGTGTGTCTGTGTGAGTGATGGGGGTCGTGGGGGGTTAGTCGAGTGGTTACAGCGTTCGCTCATTACGCTGAAGACCCGGGTTCGATTCACCACATGTGTACAACGTGTGAAGCCCATTCCTGGTGTACCCCGCGGTGATGTTGCTGGAATATTGCTAAAAGCGAAATAAAACCAAACTCATTCACTCACTCACTCACCACTCACTCACTAAAACAAGGGAGGTTCATTAGACTATCTCCACGGTAGCACAGGAAGTGTACTCTGTCCTAATATTGTTTGGTTTTCACAACATATGGTCTTCACAGTTTAGTCTGATATGCATGGAAGAGGTTAGTTTGGAACTAGTGCTGTAAAGCTGGGGAACGTTCTGTTCTCTGATTGGCTACTTTTATGTTAATTTTATGCTCCCATTTCAGCTACTTAAATTATCTGTACCCAATCAACCAGGAACGAACAATAAAGTGATCGATATCATGAGCATCGATCTAGGCAACAGTTATACAATGACATGTATCAACCCAGTCAGTGAGCTTGACCACCCGATCCCGTTAGTCGCCTGTTATAACATCCGGGTTGCTTAAAGCCAATTCTACCCGGATCTTCAGGGAATATCCGCGACTAATCGATTTGAATAATTATATTATAACGGTTATTGAATATCCTTTCTTTATAACTCTATATTTTATTTCTCAGGTGGAAACAACTTGCATTAATGTGGGCTGGTTTATGATCAAAAGCAACCAACTTAGCCTCCTCCAAACCCGGTTATTTCAAATTATTTGTAAGTTGCAATAAAAGACCTAGAACATTTACGGTCCCGTGAAGATCTGTGTTAGATTTGATCTTCAGTAACCCATGCTTGTCGTAGGAGGCGACTAACGGGATCGGGTGGTCAGGCTCTCTGACTTGGTTGACACAATTTATCGTATCCCAATTGTTACAATGTTAATTGTCAGGTACAGACTCGATTATTTACAGACGGCCGACATATAGCTGGAATATTGCTGAGTGCGGCGTTAAACAACAAACAAATAAACTCAGCAGTATGCACGCGTTTAATACAAGGTAATTATCAGACAATGTTACAGCAAATACTGCACGTACAATCACTGTACGTACAGAGTGACGGACTCAGCTCTCCAGTGGCAGAATACAAGTCTGTACCCATTTCAGGAATCGAACATGTGCATGACGAGCGAATGTTTTAATCACTCGGCCACCCACACCTGACAGACGTAAATAATACCGTTTGGTAGACAGATCATTACGTGACCTGAGTTATTTTTAGCTTTGACGCAGACCAAAGCACATGACCACATCGGTGTGTTATAAACACACACGTGATGTTGAAGTTATGGTGTCCTTGTGAAGCTTATCACGGGGCCGTTTCAAAACAGTACTTTCGTATTTACCTTTCCTCACGAAATCTAACATCCACGGTCTCAGATACCTACTGCGTTTATGTGTTGTAAGAAAGCTCACATCTGTATAGATATTTATGCAAGATATGTTCCTGCAGACGATAAAGGATTTTACGGTAATATAAATTTTGAGAAGTTCCCTTATCGGAGCAGGCAGAAACACAACGAAAGTGTTTGGTGTCGATTTCAGCCTGACAGTGGATCATGATCTGTACCGAATCCATGACTGAGCCAACAAATGTCCAGAGTTAGTTTCCAAATGGTAAGATTTGATCACATTTTACTGTGCACTTATTGACTGATTGGTTTCAAACGTTGATAGGTTTAGATTGAGATTCCAGCGGGCACAACAATGTACAATGCGCGGTGCTTCAACGTTGAAATATCAGTTGTATTGTTGCGATTTAGATGTTGCGATGATGTTGAAATATCGGCGTTGAATTAACATCAGATATTAATGTTGAAACAATGTCTTACTTCAACGTGGAAATAATATCAAAGTCAAATATCGAAGTTTTGTTGATTAAATATAGATGACACTGATACATTCAGCTCTCTAGCAGTAGGGAGGGGTGGGTAGCCTAGTGGTTAAAATGTTTGTCATGCTGAAGTCCCGGGTTCGATTCCCCACATGAGTGCAATGTGTGAAGCCCATTTCTGGTGTCTCCCGCCGTGATGTTGCTGGAATATTGCTTCAAGCGGCGTAAAACCTTATTACACACTTACTATGGCAGTATACAATCAGTGCATATAGACGTCTTGTCAGAGTTGTACCTTCTGACAGTAACCTCGACAGGGTTTGTCTCGTGTCAATGTCATGCAAATTTCTGCACATTTGAGACCCGTTCCGTAAGTGAAAGGCTGCATTTTGAGAGAATCCCATGTTGCTGTCAGATACCCAATCGCTATGCTTCAACTCTCGATAATCACGAGGTCTCGTCATTGATAATCCCAGTAAAGGCCACCATTTGAGATTACTTCAAGATGAAATCACCCTGCACTCGCTCACCATTCGTTCACCAACTCACCAAGCACCCATTCACCCTTCGTTCACCAAGCACCCATTCACCCTCCGTTCACCAACTCACCAAGCACCCATTCACCCTCTGTACACCAACTCACCAAGCACCCATTCACCCTCCGTTCACCAACTCACCAAGCACCCATTGCTCACCAAGCACCCATTCACCTTCCGTTCACCAACTCACCAAGCACCCATTCACCCTCCGTTCACCAACTCACCAAGCACCCATTCACCCTCCGTTCACCAACTCGCCAACCACCCATTCACCCTTCGTTCACCAAGCACCCATTCATCCTCTGTTCACCAACTCACCAAGCACCCATTCATCTTCTGTTCACCAACTCGCCAAGCACCAATTCACCCTTCGTCCACCAAGCACCCATTCACCCTCCGTTCACCAAAACACCAAGCACCCATTCACCCTCTGCTCACCAACTCACCAAGCACCCATTCACCCTCCGTTCACCAGCTCACCAAGCACCCATTCATCCTCCGTTCACCAACTCACCAACCACCCATTCATCCTCTGTTCACCAACTCACCAAGCACCCATTCATCCTCTGTTCACCAACTCGCCAAGCACCCATTCACCCTCTGTTCACCAACTCACCAAGCATCCATTCACCCTTCGTTCACCAAAAACCCATTCACCCTCTTTTCACCAACTCGCCAAGCACCCATTCACCCTCTGTTCACCAACTCACCAACCACCCATTCATCCTTTGTTCACCAAGCACCCATTCACCCTCCGTTCACCAACTCACCAAGCACCCATTCACCCTCTGTTCACCAACTCACCAAGCATCCATTCACCCTCCGTTCACCAACTCACCAAGCATCCATTCACCCATCGTTCACCAAGCACCCATTCACCCTCTGTTCACCAACTCGCCAAGCACCCATTCACCCATCGTTCACCAAGCACCCATTCACCCTCCGTTCACCAACTCACCAAGCACCCATTCACCCTCCGTTCACAAACGTACCAATCACCCATTCACCCTTCGTTCACCAAGCATCCATTCACCCTCCGTTCACCAACTCAACAAGCATCCATTCACCCTCCGTTCACCAACTCACCAAGCATCCATTCACCCTCCTTTCACCAACTCGCCAAGCACCCATTCACCCATCGTTCACCAAGCACCCATTCACCCTCCGTTCACCAACTCACCAAGCACCCATTCACCCTCCGTTCACAAACGTACCAATCATCCATTCACCCTTCGTTCACCAAGCACCCATTCACCCTCCGTTCACCAACTCAACAAGCATCCATTCACCCTCCGTTCACCAACTCACCAAGCATCCATTCACCCTCCGTTCGCCAACTCACCAAGCATCAATTCACCCTCCTTTCACCAACTCACCAAGCACCCATTCATCCTCTGTTCACCAACTCACCAAGCACCCATTCATCCTCTGTTCACCAACTCGCCAAGCACCTATTCACCCTTCGTCCACCAAGCACCCATTCACCCTCCGTTCACCAATTCACCAAGCACCCATCCACCCTCTGTTCACCAAAACACCAAGCACCCATTCACCCTCTGTTCACCAACTCACCAAGCACCCATTCACCCTCTGTTCACCAACTCACCAAGCACCCATTCACCCTCCATTCACCTACTCGTCAAGCACCCATTCACCCTTCGTTCACCAAGCACCCTTTCACCCTCTGTTCACCATGGTGTCCCCCGCCGTGATATTGCTGGAATAATGCTAAAAGCGGCGTAAAACTAAACTCAGTCAGTCAATCAGTCTGTTCACCAACTCGCCAAGCACCCATTCACCCTTCGTTCACCAAGCACCCATTCACCCTCCGTTCACCAACTCACCAAGCACCCATTCACCCTCTGTTCACCAACTCACCAAGCACCCATTCACCCATCGTTCACCAAGCACCCATTCACCCTCCGTTCACCAACTCACCAAGCACCCATTCACCCTTCGTTCACCAAGCACCCATTCACCCTCCGTTCACCAACTCACCAAGCACCCATTCACCCTCCGTTCACAAACGTACCAATCACCCATTCACCCTTCGTTCACCAAGCATCCATTCACTCTCCGTTCACCAACTCAACAAGCATCCATTCACCCTCCGTTCACCAACTCACCAAGCATCCATTCACCCTCCTTTCACCAACTCGCCAAGCACCCATTCACCCACTGTTCACTCAAGCACCCATTCACCCTCCGTTCACCAACTCACCAACCAAGCACCCATTCGTTCACCCTCCGTTCACAAACGTACCAATCACCCATTCACCCTTTCTGTTCACCAAGCACCCATTCACCCTCCGTTCACCAACTCAACAAGCATCCATTCTTCCTCCGTTCACCAACTCACCAAGCATCCATTCACCCTCCGTTCGCAACTCACCAAGCATCCATTCACCCTCCTTTCACCCAACTCACCAAGCACCCATTCATCCTCTGTTCACCAACTCGCCAAGCACCTATTCACCCTTCGTCCACCAAGCACCCATTCACCCTCCGTTCACCAACTCACCAAGCACCCATCCACCCTCTGTTCACCAAAACACCAAGCACCCATTCACCCTCTGTTCACCAACTCACCAAGCACCCATTCACCCTCTGTTCACCAACTCACCAAGCACCCATTCACCCTCTGTTCACCAACTCACCAAGCACCCATTCACCCTCCGTTCACCTACTCACCAAGCACCCATTCACCCTTCGTTCCCCAAGCACCCTTTCACCCTGTTCACCAACTCACCAAGCACCCATTCACCCTTCGTTCACCAAGCACCCATTCAACCTCCGTTCACCAACTCACCAAGCACCCATTCACCCTCTGTTCACCAACTCACCAAGCACCCATTCATCCTTCGTTCACCAAGCACCCATTCACCCTCCGTTCACCAACTCACCAAGCACCCATTCACCCTCTGTTCACCAACTCACCAAGCATCCATTCACCCTCCGTTCACCAACTCACCAAGCATCCATTCACCCTCCGTTCACAAACGTACCAATCACCCATGCACCCTTCGTTCACCAAGCATCCATTCACCCTCTGTTCACCAACTCACCAAGCATCCATTCACCCTCCGTTCACCAACTCACCAAGCATCCATTCACCCTCCGTTCACGAACTCACCGGGGTGGTGGGGTAGCCTAGCGGTCAAAGCGTTTGCTCGTCACGCTGAAGACCCGGGTTCGATTCCCCACGTGGGTACAATGTGTGAAGCCAATTTCTGGTGTCCCCCGTCATGACATTGCTGGAATATTGCTAAAAGCTTCGTAAAACCATACTCACTCACTCACCAAGCACCTATTCACCCTCCGTTCACCAACTCACCCTACCCATCCAGTCATTCACATTTATATTCACAGTGTCATAGTCAGTTACAGATAAAACTAAATCTTGATCTTGACATAGTTTTTACTAATCTTGCTTCGTGTACAGCTGTACTGATAATGATAAATTACATGCAAACCGACGACGTAGATACCTGCGTCGCCTAAGTCACGCCTTTATCAACAATCTATGACCATCCGCACGGTATGGAAGTCTGGGTAACCGATCCTCCGTCCCAAGTCCACGTCTGGGTCGCCCATCATCCCATTCCGTGGGTCGATGCCCGTCGGAGAATGCCTATTGATAAAGTACCGTAATTACTCTGTCAAAATGGGTTGTCCGGAAATAAAATACATTCCTACGTTCACTCAGCAGAAAATGGGTACCCAGTGGGATAAGTCATGCGACTCTATACCTTCTAGCGCCTCACAGGCAGCTTGGGTTATCCTGGGTAATAATTATTTCAGCGCTTCTGAGCTGTGCTACACAAATGCAGTATACAAATGAATAACATTAATTTTAAGTAAACAACGCCTGCTCTCGATTAAACGCTGGGAATTCTTTATGTCCTGAATCCTGCTATCTTTGGGTAACGATAGATCTACCGTACGCATACGACATTTTGTCACAGAACCATTGAACAGAAACATTTTTTAAACTGTTTTAACTGCAGTAACAAAGGTGGGTCTTAGTAAATCATTGTCGGAAATTAAAATAACAAACGCAGGGGTTGTAATCGAGGATATTAGGCATTTGAATATGCAGATAAAGTTTTATAAATATTTATACAAAATTTTTCTTTATTAAAACCAAGTCGGGAGTAACCAACATTTCGTAAATTAGAATCACCGAACCCATGCATAACAGTAACGACTAGGATCTCTAACTTTTGAAAACTTAGAAAGCGCCACAACCAAACTGAACCGGCTGTGGGTTGTTTATTTACTGTGTGTGCAGGCGCTGCAGGTGTATTAAGCAACTATCCAGGTTTTGTACCCCTGTACTGTCTGGTTCACTCACTCACTCACTCACTCTGCTACTGATTATGAAACATACATATTTTCTATACTTTAAGAAAAAAATCTTACTTCCTTTTTCGCAATGTAACAGTAGCAACCGCACCTTGCTGCAAGGCACCCGTCATTACGGTTATCTCCCAATTGACAGACACCCATTTGGCAGACAGTCGATTGACAGACACTGAACAAGAAGGTTAATTAGGGTAACACCTACGGGTATAATGGAACAGTCCACTGTGTAGTGAGTAAAGTACGGTGAGCCTGAAACAGGTTCGTTACTGAGAAGTTTGATTGTGTGTAAATAGAACTTTGTTGTTATTAGATGTTAATCTGTCTTCTCTTCTCAAAATTGATGTAATATAAGATCAAAAACCAATCAGTGTTCTAACTTTAACAATATCTTCTAAAGATTGTAACAGTTTATGTCCTTGAATAGTATACAATGGGCATTCAAGGAAGTAATGAAACACATTCTCACATCATGTCGCGTCATTTTTTTACATTTATTCTAAAGAAATCATAATTAAGTGTACTCATCATATACATTTTGTATCGTAATCTTGTGTGTAAAACATTTAGCATCCTTATTTCATATGAATAATATTTAGGTGCACAATTTTCTTTCACGTGGATATAAGATTTAAATGATGCAACAGAGTCGCAATTTCTAACAGCTAAGGTAATATTATTCCACATTTTAACTGCTGATGGAATAAAAGATGATGTTGAGTACCTCAGTCTTGTACATGGTTGACTAAAATTATTGGAATTTCTTAACTTATAGCTTGTCCGGTTGCCTACTACAGGTGGGAGTAAATCCTGAAGAAAAACTAGTGTTTTCCTGTTTAGTAGGAACTTTAATTTCCGAAATGCTCCAGTCATTTTAGATGTCTTTTTGACAATGTTTTCAATATGATGCCGCCAACTCCTGTTAGACGAAAAGGTTAAACCCAAATGTTTATGAAAATCAAATGTTTTCATATCACATCAATCAAAATTCAAATTAATGTCTTTTCGGTCATTTTCAAAGTAAATATTATAGCTCTACTTTTTCCTTGTGTATTTATTTGAACTATTTCATTATAATGTGTAGGTAACAGGTAGTAGCTAATCTGTTCATTGAACCGTAAATATTGTTGTTTTAAGGCGTCTGCGAACCGCCTGTCTGCGTAATGGGAGGACACCGTCATTAATACAGACAAAATAAAACAAGTAACTCTGCGATTGATTATATAACACAATTAAGATTTGCTACACCTTAAGAAAAAATTCTTACTTCTTCACAATGTGTCTGTAGCAACCGCTAAGTCATGCTTACTTCTTACACGGACACCTGGTGGCATCACTGACTTTCATATGTCCATTCATGTCATTGTCGTGGCTATTTTGCCCTTTCACTATAGGAATCTGTTGCGACTGATTATCAAGACTGGCCTTTAGGTTATATGTTTTATGAAATCTCAGCTTGCCCTGAAACTAAAAAGTTCTATGTTCATTGTCCCACTTGGTGACATTCATTTACTACGTGAGTTTGTGAGTGACATTGGGTTCATGCTGTGTTGACAATTAGCTTATCGCTTTAAGAAAGTGAGTGAGTGAGTATAGTTTTACGCCGCTTTTAGCAATATTCCAGCAATATCATGACGGGGGACACCAGAAATGGAATTCACACATTGTACCCATGTTGGGAACCAAACCCGGGTCTTCGGCGTGACAAGCCAACGCTTTAACCACTAGACTACCCAACTTCAAGAAAGTGCCAATTACACTACTGAAAAGCCGTTATGGACATTCGAATTTTAAATATCATTATTGTTATTGTTTGCCATCCCCGTTAAAGCAATATTACAGTCATATCCCGACGGGGATACCAGAAATGGGCTTCACACAACACCCATGTTGGGATTCGAACGCGGATCTTAGGCATGACCAGCGAAACCTTTCACCACCTTTTACCAAACATCCCCTCGTACATTCTGAGGAAACATGATAGTGCCATGGTATTGACATTTACATTTATACCATTGTACACAGATGTCCAGCGTTGGAGCTATGGGAGTAGGAGATCTGTGGGCCGACGGCGGTTGTCAGCAGAACTGTTCCAGACACGGAGCGTGCCAGCAAGGGCAATGTGTCTGTCTGGTAAGTGAGTGAGTGACTTAGGTTTGAGCTTCTCTAAGGTATTTCAGTTACTACAAGGCGTGGCAGCTTGTTTTGGGAGGGAAGCTCATAAGTGGGTTGGAACTTGCTCATGTTAGTGAGTGAGATGGGTTAGATATGGGAGACCGGGGTCAATCATTTTTGTCAGTAACACGGGGCAATTGTAACAAGGGCAATTACTCTAAACGTTTTCGCTCCAGCATAGTGTAGGTGAGTAGAGTTACATAGAGGATATTATATGAGTGCCCATGTCATACTATGTTTACAACACGAGTGCCTAAATGTTGGTATTTCCCGAGCGAGAGCGAGGGATATACCGATATTTAGGCACGAGTGTCGTAAACATAGTATGACATGGGCACGAATGTAATATTCTGTTTATTACCGAAGTCGTCAAATTGAGGTAAATAAACCCAAATCTACTTTCAAACATAGGCTGGCTACCCGCTGTCGTAGCATGTTGAACGCAACATCACAGAAGAAACGTGACGTCATAGCCTTGTTCATGACGTCACGTCACCATGGCAAAGTGATATTTTGCCCTAGGGCATCGTATGAAAAATATGAACCGCGATAAGTTCGCCCTCGTACGTAATAATTCTCTTTATCACCCAAAACTGTGTTCCACAGGAGATATCGCTTGTGTGAGATCATATGATATCTCCTAGGAGATCACGTCAACTTGATGACGTCACAATGCTATGACATCGCTGCACTGCAAGTCTAATGGTAGTACAGTTGTTATCCATAAACAATCTTACTTTCTTATTAGTCACCAACTTCTAAATGCCAATCATACAGAGCTCGTGTCTACTGATATCAATTATATCAACAGTCGTTGATAAAGGTAAAAAAATCCTCGGCAAGCCTCGGATATTTGTAACTTTATCAACTCGTGTTGATATAATTGATATCAGTAGACACTTGGGTGAGATTCTGTATTTGTTTTCCTGCGGTACATATCTGGGCGTTTTTCAGCTGCTTGCACATGGAGAGATACAGTTGACGAAAAATCGTTTTTCACATAATCATGTACACTTTTCACAAAACTTGATGAAACGTTCTTAATGCAGCAAATGTTGTTTGGTATGAGATTAACTTTTAGAGCGTAAAATTGAGGTATTACGACATATTTTGAAGTAGAAATATTGGAGAATCTCAAAGTGGTTAACATGTTACATTGCATGAAACGTGGCTACTAGCTACCATCGGGGGCAATTGTAACACTGAGGTGAGGTGGAAATAAATTAACATTAAACCGTTGTCATCCTCGACATTTAAATGTATATTGGCGTGAAATTCTTGTTTTGGTATGCCCAAAATATAATAAAAGACTAACACCACAAATTTTTACCCGATGGATACTTGTTGAAAAACTGTGACACTGAAAATGGTCAAACTTTGATAAAACTGTTAAAGAATTAACATTATTTTAATTTTCCTTGGTGCTGCATGAAATTGGGTTTTTTTGTTAAAAATTTTATTAAAGCTGAAACTCTTCATTTTGAATATAGATTTATAGTGTTTTTCATGTAGAATTTCCTGCTTGTCAAATTGACAATCAAATGATGATGAAGGTTTAACGTTAATTCTTTAATTGACCATTTTCAGTGTCACAGTTTTTCAAAAATTATCCATCGGGTAAAAGTTTTTGGTGTTAGTCTTTTTATTATAGTTTGGGCATACCAAAACAAGAATTTCACGCCAATATACATTTAAATGTCGAGGATGACAACGGTTTAATGTTAATCTATTTCCACCTCAATTGATCAAGATGACATATTTCCACATTTTATTGAAACACATCCTTCGGAAAGAAGATATGTATACATGCCTTGAGAAGGAAAGCAGTAAAAGAACAAGAGAATATTGATTGGGTTCAAGGTCAGAGGTGACGCTGATCTGTGGGCTGCCCTAATAAATAATAAGTACGTTAGAATGCGGCAGCAATGGGCAACAATGTTGCCACCAGCAAATAGAGCAATCATATTTCTGCTGAAAAGCAGACAATAATAAGGCAAAGCCAAAGGATTCCTATCCGCTGAGAAGCAGAGAGTTAAACAGATTCCGGCTGAAGAGCCGTCCTGCCATAATTTAGAATATTGCCTAAGTATTAATGATTGCAGCCACAAGACCCAGGCCACCCCTAACACTTATTGGCATAGGCATATAAGCACATACATTACAAGCCCTTTGCCAATAATGTACAATCTGGAAACAGAAAGAAGAAAGAGATGGCTGGCAAGGGGAGGGAGGGAAGGAAAGGAAAATATAACTTTTGCAGGAGACAAAAAGGATAGACTCACTGTGTGAATCTAAAAATCAATGGATGAACAAATGATGACGTAAACAGAAGTAGACACATGACGTCATTGGAAAATAACATAACCGGAAGTGACATAAGCAAAGATAAAAGAGCGGGAAGAACGAACTGAAAGGAAGTGCGAATGGTTTCAATAAACGCATTGAATGTCAAACACTAAATGAGATTATTTTGATTGTATTTGGAAAATAAACAAATTGTTACATTAGAACCTTCATTGTTACAACTGCCCCATCCACCTGTTACAATTGCCCCGTGCCTTGGGTCAGTTGTAACACTTGCAGTCATTGCATTTGATACGTACTAACTTTGTAACGACATGATCGTGAACCTCAAATGACACAGAGTTATAAAACCAAGATGCCAATGTAATAGTTAGTACCGATTAACTTTGGGATAGGTCGACCAGTATCGAATTACAAGTTAAGTAAAAAATGTTACAATTGTCTCCGGTCTCCCCTACCCTTTGAACAGTATTACAGTTATATCAGGTGTCAACTTGATATGGAAGGAAAGTCCTAAGTGATTCAGGTCACCGACGTTTAAAACCTTGCTGGAACTAAAGAGCATTGGTATGGGGCAGACAAACCGAGATACATAATCGGGGCGAATCTGAATTCGAAACTGCGATACCAGGTTTCTGGCGAGTCCAAGGTACGCAACTCTGCGCAGCAAATTCCAGCGTTTTGGACGACTTGGCCACCTGTGCCCCCGTGTCCCCTAAGGCAAACTTATATAGTACTTTCACTTCGTCCAGGGTACCGTTCCACAAAGCGATCGTAGCGCTAATGTGATCGTAACTCCCATACATTAACGTAGACTTACGATTGCGATCAGCTCTAATATGATCGTAATTCCCATGCTTTAAAGTAGACTTACGACTGTCGTAGCGCTACAATCACTTTGTTGAACGGGTACCAGCACGTCAATTCTGATATCTCTCCCTGTGTTGTGAAAGGTCCGATGTTCTCACGGGTTGTTTCTGGTACGTCATGAGCGTTGGCGCAAACAGAAACGAGGGGAATCAGTTAATGTTCGATGACTAGTATCGTTACGTGTCCTGCTCCACTCCCCACCAGGTTCAGTACGCTGGCACGGGCTGTGAAGAGGTAAACCGGAAGTACTTCGTGGCGTTCGGCTCCATCTTCACCATCGTGTGCTGCGTGGTCACCATCCAGCTGGTGAGTGTGTGTCTGTCATGCTTGTCCGCGAGTCGTGTCTGTACATCACACCTGTCTGTCTGTACATCACACCTGTCTGTCTGTACATCACACCTGTCTGTCTGTACATCACACCTGTCTGTCTGTACATCACGCCTGACTGTACATCACACCTGTCTGTACATCACACCGGTCTGTCTGTACATCACACCTGTCTGTCTGTACATCACACCTGTCTGTCTGTACATCACGCCTGACTGTACATCACACCTGTCTGACTGTACATCACACCTGTCTGTCTGTACATCACACCTGTCTGTCTGTACATCACGCCTGACTGTACATCACACCTGTCTGACTGTACATCACACCTGTCTGACTGTACATCACACCTGTCTGTCTGTACATCACGCCTGACTGTACATCACACCTGTCTGTACATCACACCGGTCTGTCTGTACACCACACTTGTCTGACTGTACATCACACCTGTCTGTCTGTACATCACACCTGTCTGACTGTGCATCGCACCTGTCTGTACATCACACCTGTCTGTACATCACACGTGTCTGTCTGTACATCACACCTGTCTGTCTGTACATCACACCTGTCTGTCTGTACATCACACCTGTCTGTGTGTACATCACACCGGTCTGTCTGTACATCACACCTGTCTGTCTGTACATCACACCTGTCTGTCTGTACATCACGCCTGACTGTACATCACACCTGTCTGACTGTACATCACACCGGTCTGACTGTACATCACACCTGTCTGTCTGTACATCACGCCTGACTGTACATCACACCTGTCTGTACATCACACCGGTCTGTCTGTACACCACACTTGTCTGACTGTACATCACACCTGCCTGTCTGTACATCACACCCCTGTCTGACTGTGCATCGCACCTGTCTGTACATCACACCTGTCTGTACATCACACGTGTCTGTCTGTACATCACACCTGTCTGTCTGTACATCACACCTGTCTGTACATCACACCTGTCTGTGTGTACATCACACCGGTCTGTCTGTACATCACACCTGTCTGTACATCACACCTGTCTGACTGTACATCACACCTGTCTGACTGTACATCACACGTGTCTGTCTGTACATCACACGTGTCAGACTGTACATCACACCCTGTCTGTACATCACACCTGTCTGTACATCACACCTGTCTGTCTGTACATCACACCTGTCTGTCTGTACATCACACCTGTCTGTACATCACACCTGTCTGACTGTACATCACACCTGTCTGACTGTACATCACACCTGTCTGTACATCACACGTGTCAGACTGTACATCACACCTGTCTGACTGTACATCACACCTGTCTGACTGTAAATCACACCTGTCTGTCTATACATCACACCTGTCTTACTGTACATCACACCTGTCTGTCTATACATCACACCTGTTTGTCTGCATGTGCATCACATCCTTTTGTATGTATGCCCCCATGGTCAGTGTGACGTATAGTATTGGCATAAGTACATTGCACGTTTATTAGACTGACACTTATTATATTTAAAAATATGTATCGGAGCCCAGGGTAATTTCAGACCAAATCTTAGACTTGTGCTAGAATTCATGCTCTATATAGCACCTGGTAGGTCGACTATGTACGTATGTGTGATGCTGGTATCTAGCGGTTGCCTCTGTGTTCCAGCTACTGTGTATTGTGTCCGAGCATCAGAGAGAGAGGAAGTCCTGGAGGAGTGCGTGTGGTATCACGGTGCAGAAGCTGCTGTACCTGCTTATAATATGTGCGTCCGCGCTCAGAGGGGCCTACTTTCTGGGTCGGGTAAGTGATGTCAATATATGTCCGCCCCTCAGAGGGGCCTAGTTTTTATGTAAACTCAGTGTTGTCTTTACTGTATGTACCTCACCCCTGGTGTATCACAGAAGACGACACCGGGTGTTGCTGATTGCAGGTACTGGCAAACAAGGATAAGTTGAGCACCGACCTGACAATTGACCCCTATTAGCATGTATGAGTACCGCCCACTGGCGCTTGCCATTGTGAGCGAAGGGGCCCCAGGTTGTCCGCAACCAAGTGGGTTTGCTCATTGCCGTGCACCGCCTACTTCTCGTAAATGCGTTCTCTGCGCCGGTCCAACTTTATCCTTGTTTGCCAGTAGTATCACGACAGCCACAATCAACTCATGCCACATGTTAACATGCCTCTTCATGTCACAGTATTTAAAATTTAAATGCTAAAATTCTATTGAACGATCAAATTATTCAGCGTCATGGTGAACTGGAATTTACGACTAATCTGTGCGACTGTGGTCAATGTTTCAGTGGTGGATGTCGGAGTACGTGGCCAACTGTCTGTGGTGCGGTTACTTCCCCTTCCTCATCACTGGCTTTTCTCTCATCATCTGCTCCTGGGCCGAGGTAAGGGCAGGGCTTGAGGTTCGATCCTTATATCTGGCATCCCTTACAATCTGATATACTGGGTGGGGATTTTGGGGCTTCCCTTATCATCTGCTCCTGGGCCGAGGTAAGGGCGGGGCTTGAGGTTCGATCCTTATATCTGGCATCCCTTACGATCTGATATACTGGGTGGGGATTTTGGGGCTTCCGATTATCATCTGCTCCTGGGCCGAGGTAAGGGGTAGGGGGCTTGAGGTTCGATCCTTATATCTGGCATCCCTTACGATCTGATAAACGGGGTGGGGATTTTGGGGCTTCCCTTATCATCTGCTCCTGGGCCGAGGTAAGGGCAGGGCTTGAGGTTCGATCCTTATATCTGGCATCCCTTACGATCTGATATACTGGGTGGGGATTTTGGGGCTTCCCTTATCATCTGCTCCTGGGGCGAGGTAAGGGCGGGGCTTGAGGTTCGATCCATACATCTGGCGTCCCTTACGATCTGATATACTGGGTGGGGCTTCCCTTATCATCTGCTCCTGGGCCGAGGTAAGGGCGGGACTTGAAGTTCGATCCTTATATCTGGCATCCCTTACGATCTGATATACTGGGTGGAGATTCTGGGGCTTCCCTCATCATCTGCTCCTGGGCCGAGGTAAGGGCGGGACTTGAAGTTCGATCCTTATATCTGGCATCCCTTACGATCTGATAAACGGGGTGGGGATTCTGGGGCATCCCTTATCATAATAATATGATGGCGATGTACTGCTGGACGGTACAGTGATGGGAGTAAACCAGGTGAAGTCCTTCACCAAGTCTGCCCAGAGTCGGTCTTTTGTGGAGAAGCTTTGTGAGAAGCCATTGCATCGTGTGTACATGCAGTGTGTTGAACAGAATAGCAATCCCACCGACTCCTTCGCCTGGATGAAGTTGTCTGGTCTTAAATGTGAAACTGAGGGCTTTCTTTTTGCTGCTCAGGACCAGTCACTTCCCACTCGCAATCGCCTAAATGTGATTCTTAAAGAAAATATCAATATGAAATGTCGACTTTGCAATGAATTCACGGAGACTGTCCAACACCTTGTCAGTGGATGCCCTTCCTTGGCACAAACAGCATATCTTAAACGACATGATGGCATGGCTCGTTGCTTTTACTACCGTCTCCGACATGCCTGTGGCTTTGAGTCCGAGGTCCATCCATGGTACGACCCTGAACATGTCCAGGGCGTCATGGAAAATGATGCTTTCAAACTTCTGTGGAATAGGCCCATGTACTGCCTCAGAAGAATTCCTGCCAACAAACCTGATCTTGTCCTTTTTTGATAAAGCCAATGAATTTATTTATATCATTGAATTTTCTGTCCCTTTTGACACCAATGTGATTCGCAAGATTCAGGAAAAGCATGATAAATATGCGGACCTCGCCTTTGAAATGTCTCGCTTGCATCCCAAGTACACTGTCGCCAGGTTCCCCATTGTTCTCGGTGCCCTTGGTTTGGTACCTCCTGATCTCTTGGCGCAGATCAGGAGAGTGCCCGGGTTCTCCACCGGGAGTACAGCCCTTCTGACACTGTGGGTAATGCAGAAGGCTGCAGTGTTGGGGAGCCTTCATATTCTCCGGAAAGTTCTTGGTGGGTTCGACTAGGCAGCGTTTCCTGGGAGAAGTCCCATTCGCTGTCTGGGCTGCGTGTAGAGGGGGCAAGGGCCCTGAGCTGATGATGAGCCTTACCAGCCTGACTGTGCCAGGATCACCCGAACCCTCTCTGCTGCATACAATCTTTAATCTGTAAAACATAATAATAATAATAAGTGCATTTATAATGCGCTAAACTCCATTCACTGGGTGAATGCTCATAGCGCTAACAAACTCCACTGGTATGTACAAAGTTTGTAATTTGTAGATTAGGCAGTGTTGTAAAACTGTTTAAACAGGTAGGTCTTTAAAGCCCTTTTGAAAGTGCTGAGATTTTCAATTCTTTTCAAGTCACAAGCCAGTTTATTCCACAATGTTGCTGCGTTGAAGGAAAAGGTTCTTTTCCCAAACCATCTAAGCTTTGGCTTTGGCACACAGAGGAGACAAAGGTCTGCTCGGGCCGAGGTAAGGGCGGGGCTTGAGGTTCATCCTTGTATCTGGCGTCCCTTACGATCTGATATACGGGGTGTGAATTCGGGGGCGTCCTTTGTCATCTGTCCCTGGTCCGAGGTAAGGGCGGGTCTTGAGGGGCGATCCTTATATCTGGCGTCCCTTACGATCTGACATACGGGGTGTGAATTCGGGGGCGTCCTTTGTCATCTGTCCCTGGTCCGAGGTAAGGGCGGGGTTTGAGGGGCGATCCTTATATCTGGCGTCCCTTACGATCTGATATGCGGGGTGTGAATTCGGGGGCGTCCTTTGTCATCTTCTTGGCGGAGAAATGAGCTGGGGTTTATAATTATATCATTTTTTGGGGAAGCGAATTACACATCTGCCTCCTGGACAGCTTTGCACTCGCGACCATGTTTATTTGCAATTCTGACACCCTTTAAATGTGTACATAAACTCAGGATCCGACGAATTTTAGGTTGAAAACATTTCTTAGATTTCTTATTTTACAAATTTAAAGATTAAATCAAGTATTCGAAACAAATGAAAATGATTATCATGTGTAAGCACGCATTTAAATATGTTCAAACATTTTCATTATTTTTTTTATTTACTTTGTTGTTTTTTTGCCCGATCTTTTACTAATTGAGGGTAAAGAAGAGAAACAACTGAAAAATACGGATGGTCTCAACGTGGCACCAAGTGATGCATCTAGTCTTCTGTTTCAGGACGTGCACGTCAGCCGGCGAGAGACGCCACCGTTCCTCAGCAAGTCGGTTCTGGTGTTCGTCCTCTTCAACGTCGTGCTCTACCTGTTGTTGTGTGCCGTCCTTGTCCTCACCGAGATCGTACCCAACGACGAGGTGAAGGTCCGGATTTCATTTTGCTTTTGCTTGGGGGCTATAAACACTCTTCAAAAAAAGAAACGCAAAGGTCGTGCTTATTTTGTTTATTCATGGGCCATCCAGTAACATATATTGTGCAATATTTTCTATTGAACGATGCTCGTCAGCTGTTGCAGTGTACAAACACAACTGTTTTAAAGGCAGCATAATTTGTTTTTTTATAAGACACCGAAAATGTCGCCAAATATTGGGGAAAACATCTTCATGTTTAAAAACAACGTGGGTGAATAAGTGTGTAAAGTTTTACGCCGCTTTTAGCAATATTCGTTAACGAAAATCCCAGCCGCCCGCCTCTCCCTTTCATAAAATATTTGATAGTCGATTCCTGGCATCTTCACTGAACCCTTGTATCTGCATTATATACAGGACCTGGGTCTGAAGGCGTACAACGGCGCTGTTGCTGTCCTCTCCATCATCCTCGTCGTCATCTTCCTCATCTACGGCGTGGAGCTTTACTTCAAGGTAAGTCACTCCATCCAGGGCCCCGTTCCTCAAAGCGATCGTAACCCTAAGATGATCGTAACTCCCATACTTTAACATAGACTTACGACAGTCGTAGCGCTACGATCGCTTTGAGGAACAGGGCCCTGGATTATGAAGATGGCTAGCCTAGTGGTAAAGTGTTCGCGCTTCACCCCAAAGGTTTGGGTTCTATCCCCACATGGGAAGAATGGGTGAAGACATTTGCTGGTGTCTCCTGTCGTGGTATTCCTGGAACACAACTCGCTCACACTCACTCACTCACTCAGGGCGGTGGGGTAGCCTAGCGGTTAAAGCGTCCGCCCGTCACGCCGAATACCCGGGTTCGATTCCACACATGGGTACAATGTGTGAAGCCCATTTCTGGTGTCCCCTGTCGTGATATTGCTGGACTATTGCTTTAAAAAAAGCGGCGTAAAACCTCACTCACTCAGAGCTAGTGTCACTCATCAGTCACGTGATGTGTTTCCCCAGGTACACGGGGCGTTCAAGGGGGACGGCGTGGAGGTGGACCCCCATCAAGTGGCTATGTCGAGACTCGGGCTCATCTCCCAAGCCCTCCTGCAGTTCCTCATGGGCATCTTCCTCGTCACTGACGTCTTCACCGACCACTGGAAAAATATGTACGTTAAACAAACTACAAGATGTAGCTTCCTACTTTTGAAACTCTTAAACCGAAGTACTGGCACAATAGAAAACATATCAGACTGTCTCTGGCTCGACACCCGGGTTTGATTCTCCATATTGATATAGTGCGTCTGTGTTTGACTATAGTTGCGATTCTACCATGACTTCAGTAAATACTGGATTGTGATTGGTTAATCAAAGTCATTCAGAGGTATATAATCACGTTATATACCTCTGATTTTCCAACACAGTATGTATTTTTGCAAAATCTTAATAACGCGGTCATGGTAGAATGGAGATAAACGTACTGTGTTGGAAATCAGAGGTATATAACGAAATTATAATAGCTCTAATTTTTACGCGTTCGGTATTAAATCAAATTTAGAGCTATTATAATTTCGTTTTATACCTCTGACTTTCCAACACAGTATGTTTATCTCCTAATTAAGATAGTACTGGGGATGTTAGGTCACACGGCAAAAGAATGTACACAACATGTTTATTGGTAGATATAATGCAATGAACAATAAATAGTTATGTGATGGCTGTGAAATAGATACGGGTATCGGGGCGGTGGGTAGCCTCGTGGTTAAAGCGATCGCTCGTCACGCCGAAGACCCGGGTTCGATTCCCCACATGGGTACAATGTGTGAAGCCCATTTCTGGTGTCTCCCGCCGTGATATTGCTGGAATATTGCTAAAAGCGGCGTAAAACTAAACTCACTCACTCACTCGGAGATACGGGTATCATAGTAGTATTTTGGGCCTTATGTCGTTACAGTGTTTCGGAGACTGTTTATAGATAGTGATGCTGTGGTAAGATTAAAAAAATACTTAATCCAGACTTCAAGTTTCTACTTTCTATTGCCTAACAGCTTTTTTTATCAGAGCTCCTAGTGATGAATGCTGGTAAAAATGTACCTCATGTTACATCAGTGTAAAGATCCCTTCAAACGTGGATGCAGTGGGAGACGGCTCTAAGGATTTTGTCCCGAATCTCCCATCACGAGACTGCCTGTGTGATGTTGTTTAGTTGTTTGGCTGTTGTTGAGCAGAATGACGATCCTGGAACTGAACTACTACGAGTTGGTGTTCCGGGTGGTGGAGTTCGGGGTGGTCATCTGGTTCCCCTGCGTCCTGTGGAACTGTCGCAAGTTGGTACACTACTACTACTACTACTACTACTACTACTACTACTACTACTACTTCTACTACTTCTACTACGACTACGACTACGACTACTACTTCTACTACTACTACTACTACGACTACGACGACTACGACGACTACGACTACGACTACTACTACCACTACGACTACTACTACTACTACCACTACTACTACTACGACTACTACCACTACTACTACTATTACTACTACTACTGCTGCTGCTACTACTACAACTACTACTACTACTACTACTACTACTACTACTACCACATGTCTTTGAACCCGTGGATATCCGGGCTAGGATTGATCCCCAGCAACCCATGCTTGTCGTAAGAGGCGGCTAACAGGATCCGGTATTCAGGCTGTCTGACTTGGTTGACCCAAGTCATGTATGCCAGTTGCGTAGATCGATGCTCTCTGCTTTTGATCACTGGATTGTCTGGTCCAGACTCGATTATTTACTGACCGCTGCCATATAGCTGGAACATTGCTGAGTGCGGCGTAGACAACAGACTACTACTACTACTACTACTACTACTACTACTACTACTCCTACTGCTACTACTACTACTAACTACTACTACTACTACTACTACTACTACTACTACTACTACTACTACTGCTACTACTACTACTACTGCTACTACTACTGCTACTACTACTACTACTACTACTACTACTACTACTACTACTACTACTACTACTACTACTACAACTAATACTACAACTACTGCTACTACTACTACTACTACTACTACTGCTACTACTACTACTCTCCACTACTACTACTACTACTACTACTACTACTACTACTACTGCTGCTACTACTACTACTACTACTACTACTACTACTACTACTACTACTACTACTGCTACAACTACTACTACTACTACTGCTACTACTACTACTGCTGCTACTACTACTACTACTACTACTACAACTACTACTACTACTACTACTACTACTACTACTACTACTACTACTACTACTACTACTACTACTACTACTAGTACGACTAGTATAATTACCAATACTGTTACCACTATCACTAAGGTGATGTAATTATCATATTATGTGTACCAAGAACCGAAACTTGAGATTCATTAGAAAGATATAATGTTGACATATCTCACCAAAGGCCCGAGACACTGTGGGTGCTGAATCCTCGCCGGATACTAAGGACGCTGGACTTGCACTCTAACGTGGATGAGATCACGGGTCTGAACCGCGACCAGTACAACACGCCCAGCTACAGCACGTTCAAGAGGGAGGACTCGGGTAATACAACTCAATCACTTGCAGCTCATACAGCTCACAGGGCTCATCACATATACCTCATATAACATACAGCTCATCGTATCACATACGTTCATACAGCCTATATCACATACGGCTCACATCACCTACAGCTCATATCACCTACACCTCATATCACCTACAGCTCACATCACCTACAGCTCATATCACCTACAGCTCACATCACCTACAGCTCACATCACCTACAGCTCATATCACCTACAGCTCATATCACCTACAGCTCATATCACCTACAGCTCATATCACCTACAGCTCATATCACTTACAGCTCATATCACCTACAGCTCACATCAGCTACAGCTCATATCACATACGTCTCACATCACCTACAGCTCATATCACCTACAGCTCATATCACATACGTCTCACATCACCTACAGCTCATATCACCTACGGCTCACATCACCTACAGCTCATATCACATACGACTCACATCAGCTACAGCTCATATCACATACGGCTCACATCACCTACAGCTCATATCACCTACAGCTCATATCACCTACAGCTCATATCACATACAGCTCATATCACATACAGCTCATATCACATACGACTCACATCAGCTACAGCTCATATCACATACGGCTCACATCACCTACAGCTCATGTCACCTACAGCTCATATCACCTACAGCTCATATCACCTACAGCTCATATCACATACGGCTCACATCACCTACAGCTCATATCACCTACAGCTCATATCACATACGGCTCACGTCACATACGACTCACATCAGCTACAGCTCATATCACATACGGCTCATATCACATACGGCTCACATCACCTACAGCTCATATCACCTACAGCTCATATCACATACGGCTCATATCACATACGGCTCACATCACCTACGGCTCATATCACCTACAGCTCATATCACATACGGCTCATATCACCTACAGCTCACATCACCTACAGCTCATATCACCTACAGCTCATATCACCTACAGCTCACATCACCTACAGCTCATATCACATACGGCTCATATCACATACAGCTCATATCACCTCCAGCTCACATCAGCTACAGCTCATATCACATACGTCTCACATCACCTACAGCTCATATCACATACGGCTCATATCACCTACAGCTCATATCACCTACAGCTCATATCACCTACTGGCTCATATCACCTACAGCTCATATCACATACGACTCACATCAGCTACAGCTCATATCACATACGGCTTTAACATATAAAATACGCAGGGGAGATCATTAATCACTCATATTGTCGCCTTGTTTAATGCCATCATCAGATATGAGTACGTGCCACTTATGTATAATCTTGGCGAAGTTCTCCCAATACACAAAGGTAAAGGCAAAAGCAAAATTGATCCATCTAATTATCGTGGCATAACGTTAACATCTACCCTCAGTAAGCTCTTAGAACGTCTGCTCCTAGATAGGATTGAGAAATGGACAGATAATAACACTTCCTTCCCCCACCCTTTCCAGTTTGGCTTCAGAAAAAACGCAGGAGCTGAGATGGCAGCGCTTACACTTACTGAAACCATTGCATATTACAACGAAAGAACTCACCAGTATACTGTGCTTTTCTCGACAATGAAAAGCGTTTGATCGTGTGTGGCTTGATGGTCTATTTTATAAATTAGACAAACTTGGTATATCTGGTAAAATGTGGAGACTCCTTCGTTTATCTTATATGTCTATGCACTCTTATGTTGGTTTTGCAGGGTTCAAATCGAACCAATTTCATGTTAAACAAGGTGTCGGGCAAGGCCGTGTTATATCAGCGTGGCTTTTTTCACTGTACATAAATGACTTATTACATGATCTTAATAGAACAAGTTGTGGATTATGCCTCCCATGGGGAAAATGTCAGCTTATTGTTAGCTGATGACACAACCCCTTACCAGCTCCAACCCAAGGGACTACAATGTTTGCTAGATGTAACTGAATGTTATGCAAACAAATGGAAGCTGAAATATAATGTAAGTAAAGAGTGCTGTATTGATGTTTGAAACAACAAAAAATGTATCGCCCAATGACCTTTTATTTTGTAATATCCATGTACCTCCAAAACAATTCATTATTTATGCTGGAGTGTATTTTACTACCTCAAATCATCTGTTAATAGAACAGGTAATGTTTGTGAGAAACTGAGAAAAATGATTAATATTAACCATGACTCAGGGTTGCATTATGGAGGATTAAATCCTATTGCTGCAATTCGTATATGGGACAGAGTTATACTGCCATGCTGCCTATATGGATGCAGTGTATGGGGAAAGCTATCTAATAAAGAATATGATATGTTGGAAACCACACAGCGTTATTTCTGTAAAAATACAGGGTTTTGATAGGTATATGCCTAATGAAGTTGTTGTGGATAACCTTGGTATTCTGTCATTACAAGCTTATATAGATCAACGCTCTCTGTTGCTACTTGGCAGATTATGTAACAGCAGTATTAAGTATTCTTTTTAAACAGTTGTTTTACATAGATTCTCGCAATATGACAAATGAAATTATGAATATCAGAAAGCATAAACGAGATATGAAATCTCCTATATTTCATATGTTGGAATTATTAGCTAAATATGGTATCCAGGAAGAAATTAAACAATATGTAGTGTGTTCTAAACTTTTTTATGTAAAAGGAAATGGTCAAGAATAGTACGGAAAAGGTCTTACAATGTGATAGAAAAGCAGCAGAGTGTGCCATGCAGTCAAGGCTGTCATTGATACGGTATCAG